ATAATGCGGGGTTTTTTTAGTTTTGGGGGGGGGGGGGGTTAGATCGTGTAAAAATGTGTCGTTAACAACGCCACCACCCGACACAGCCAATGAGATTGTAAATGTTGTGGATTTCCTCTCCAACACACAACCGCGGTGTTGCTGTACCAGTGACGAATTGGCCACGTTCTGTTTACGTTGCAAACCTGACCTGTTGGCTGTGTCGGGTGGTGGCGGGTCTAACGACACATTTATATATTCACACGATCGAACCCAAAGAACCTGCATTGTGGATGACATTGGTCGCGAAATCCAGCTAAGTGTTAAAATAGACGCCATCATATCCCGCGGCTCCTCTTGCCTGCCAACCACATACATCATCGCTACATACGGTATTTGATTTGATTACATGCTGGGAGGGAGGTGGAGGGTGGGGAGGTGACGCGTCTTACGATCCGTAAAAATAAAAGGGGCATTTTAATTTTAAAGCATTTATTGACAAAGTACCACTCGGATGGAGCGATGCGTTGTTACTTAAAATGAACAACAGATAAATATGTAAAATAACACGAGCGAGGGCCAGGATAGAGGAGGGCCAACAGTTAAATGCCCCGGCACGGAGGGTTCAGTAGATGACCCAGTAGGTGACTCAGCAGGTGACCTGGCAGGTGAACCAGTAGATGACTCAGCAGGTGACCTAGTAGGTGACTCAGCAGGTGACTCAGCAGGTGACCCAGTAGATGACTCAGCAGGTGACCCAGCAGGTGACCCAATAGGTGACCCAGTAGGTGACCCAGTATGTGACTCAGCAGGCAACCCAGTAGGTGACCCAGTAGGTGACTCAGCAGGTAACCCAGTAGATAACTCAGCAGGTGACTCAGCAGGTGACTCAGTAGGTGACCTAGTAGGTGAACCATTAGGTAACCCAGTAGGTGAACCAGTAGATGAACCTGTAGGTGAACCAGTAGGTGACCCTTGCTCTGAGCAATGATAGCAGAGTAACGCATATGCCGATTCGAGGGGTCTGCACGTGGCTTATAGGCTGAAACGTCGAAGTAAAAAAGAAGCGATTTCGTCGCTCAAATGACCGCTGCCGCCCGCTTGAGACAGCAGTGGAAATTCCATATTCCTACGACAGGGGCGAGGACATCCAAAGGTCAACCACTGTTGACTTCATCACAAAGAGTTACCAATTTTCAAGACCCCTCCCCCCACCTCCTGGATGGGGCTGGGGGTGATGATGGGATTAGCCAACCCCCACCCCGAGCAACCAGGATTCTCACTTGCGACCTTCAACACAACGTGCGTGTGTGTGTGTAATGCACAGTCGGAACTTTGTGCGCTATAGAGAGGAACGAATGAACAAAAAGCATCAGCAGTTCCCGTAGAACTGCACTGGCCCTCAACCAGCATTTGAACTGGCGAGCGTTCAGATCGCGAGCCAATTTCTCTGCCACTGAGCCCCACCTGGCCGGTTACCTATTGCATACACGTTACACAATACAAAGACAACAACAATATAAAGGATCGCTTTGACTGTCACTCAACGAACCCGCACTCAGAGGTAGCTCTGGGATATCCGCTTCCACGGGCAGTTCTGTGTGGGCCAGTGGTCACTTGAAGAAGTGGGGACTCTCAAAGGTAGATCTGTGACATCCGCTTCCACGGGCAGTTCTGTGTGGGCCAGAGTGGTCACTTGAGAAAGTGGGGACTCTCAAAGGTAGATCTGTGACATCCACTTCCACGGGCAGTTCTGTGTGGGCCAGAGTGGTCACTTGAGGAAGTGGGGACTCTCAAAGGTAGATCTGTGACATCCGCTTCCACGGGCAGTTCTGTGTGGGCCAGAGTGGTCACTTGAAGAAGTGGAGACTCTCAAAGGTAGATCTGTGACATCCGCTTCCAAGGGCAGTTCTGTGTGGGCCAGTGGTAATTTCTGCGGGGCGTTCTCCGAGGCCGACGCGCTGCTCTACGAGATTTTCAGATTTCACGTCTCGTGATGTCATTTATAGCGGCCGAATACTCTAAATGCGCGATGGTGACTCCCCAAGCGTGGGAGGGAAAAACCGGAGGACGCGGAGAAAAATCCACGCGACCGCGGTGGGAGAGAGAGAGAGAGAGACGCGCAAACGACAAATATTCAGCAGGCGTCAACAGGGTCAGCATCGGAGCCACAACCTCCTGTATACCAGGCGAGGTAGCCAACATCTCCTTGCCACCGTGGTGCCGTCACTATTTGGGGGTTATGACGGGGGCAGCGTGCTCGTCACCCCCTTGCAGACGTTCGCCGTTTGAATTCCAGCGACGGCCCTGCTTCATAGCTTTCCTGGGGTATATCTTCTTTGGTTCTTTCGGTAAAGTCACCACGTAGAATGAGAATAAAATAATAAATTGATAAAATAAAATAACACAATAATATTCTCACGACGTTTCGGCCACAACACAAGGACAGCGCTGTCCTACCAGACAGTCTCGTCCCCTTCACCTGATGAAGGCCGCTTGTGTTGTGGCCGAAACGTCGTGAGAATATTATTGTGTTATTTTATTTTATCAATTTATTATTTTATTCTCATTCTACGTGACTTTACCGAAAGAACCAAAGAAGATGAATCCTTGCAGTCACGAAAGCTTTAAATCGAAATTTTCCTGGGGTAAACAGGCGCAATTGTATTGATGCTCAAAGCAATTATGCAAACGGAAAACAACATCCATCACATTTTGATTTAGAGCTTTCGTGACTGCAGGGATTCATATTCTTGGTTCTTTCGGTAAAGTCACGTAGAAGGGAAACAATAAAATACAAATATAATTATTATTTTATTGTTTCCCATCTACGCGACTTTACCGAAAGAACCAAGAATATAACATCTATCACATTTATAATTTTTCTTCTATTTTTCCATCCCGTTTGCATAGGTGGGGCGGAGAGGGGGGGCGTTGGTGACGGTGGCACCGCGGTTCCACAAAACGTCGGCAGCCGAACCGATTCCGCACGCACACCCCTGGAACCCGCGTGGTGAAGTATGGTAAACCGCCCCCCCTACCCCCCACCATTAACCGACACGGCATGGGGGGCGGGGGGGGGGGGGGAATCCATCATCACAGACCCACCGGCTGTAAAGTTACATTCCTTGCGTATCGTCGAGCCTCGCCGCGTTTGTGCGGCGACTCCCTCCGCGTGGTGTCGCCTGCTCCGGTCCGGCCCGGTGGACCCCTCCGAAGGATCGCCAGTGGCCCCCGCAAAAAATGCTTTTGCCCAAATAATACGCTCGCTGTTAATCACCCCCCCCAATTACCTGTTGTTGTTGTTGTTGGTGTCGTGAAAAAAACGAAACCTTCATGCGCGGGTCGCTGAACCTGAATGTGATCGTAACGAAAAATTCCGCACACTTCCCCGTACATTTTGTTGTTGCTCGAATTCAATGCAGCTCCACCAATTTGTTTAGACCTTAACTCTTCCTGGCTTTGGCGGCGGGGTTCACTTCGGGCAGGCGCGGTCTAATGTGCAGTGACGCACCTGCACGCAGACACGCGGACACACACACGCACACGCGCGCAAGATAAAGATCACCCCCCTGTGTAGCCTCAACAGATTGTTGGGGCAAGCGGTATCGGCGAGGGGCACCGGCAAAGGCCGGCGGCAGGCCAGCACCACGCCCGGCCGCCTTTGTCTCCTGAGTGGCGATGTTTACAGACCGCGCAAGGTACTCATTTGAGGCCGAGTCGACCTAGGGGAGAGAGGCCTAGGACCAGTTAAAAAAAAAAAATCGTCAACGCCCTGCTTGTCTTGCGAGGTCAGGAGCATTCGTCACCACAACAGCAGCAGCAGCAGCAACCAAATGATCGTAATAATATATATTTTTTACAGAGTTTCCAAGAATTTTATTTTATTAGCAACTGTCCATCGCTTTCGGAAGTTTGTCCAAGTTCTTCCCCTTTCTGTGGGGGGGGGGGGGGGAGTTAATTTGGTAGCAGGAAGAGAAATCCGGAGAAAGCCCCCAACGTGTACAGGCAGCCATTCTATTGGGCAGCTCCCGGATGAAATGATCGTTTGTCTGACACGCGGACGGGAGGCTACGGGCGACGTGAACGGCACGCGGCGGTGGCTACGAAATCCGCCGGCGGGGCCCCGAGTTCGATTCCCGGCCAAGCGAAGCGGGCCTTGGTTGGGTCCTCTCCTCTCTTCACTTCACCGACTCGGCACGCACCGGCGTGGTGAAGTACGTTCAATCATACTCTTTGGTTCTATTGGGTAAAGTCACGTAGGTGAAAATAAAATAACAAAAAAATTAACAAAAAATCACGACGTTTCGGCCACAACACAAGCGGCCTTCATCAGGTCACGAAAGCTTTAAATCTAGAATACGTTCAATCAATCCCCATGACACGCAGGGGAGGAGAGGTGTGTATGCGTGAATGTTGAACTTCTTTTGCACTGTACGTAAGCCAACCGGAGGGCGCATGGGTCAGGACAACAAACTCGGCACAAAAAGCAGTTTTTTCAAGAAATTGGTTTTCAATCGAGGTGACGAGTTAAAAGTGCATTGCACCAAGAGGCTTCCTAATATGGGAAGAGCGTTCCAGACGGTCCGCAGGAGCGCATGTGATAGCGCCGCGCGATGACGCGGTGACCACCGCCTTTGTTTTCGACGGCTGAGCCAAAAGCCGCTGCTGCTGCTGCTGCCGCTGAGCGGAGTTCTCGTGACGGTGGTTTATACCCCCCTCGACGAGATCGGCGAGGTACTGTGGGCTCATTTTGTGGCGAGCTGTGGGGGGGGTGTCTTGGGTAATTCCCCACGACGTTGCTCTCAAAGGCCGGGGGTTCAACCTCTTGCAGAAGCCACACACAGGGGGCCGCGTGACACTTCGCAGCGGAACGGCGAGCACTCGTGCATCATCCGAGACCGTCTTTGTTCCGAAATCCGCCGCTGCGCTGCTGCTGTTGCCGCGAGGATGACCGGAGGAGAAGGACGAGAGGCGATGCGAGAGTGGCGGTGAGCGGGGCAAAAGTGAGCGGCACGGAGGTGGGCGTGAGGGGGGGGGGGGGGGGGGTCGGGTTGGCCAGAGGGATTCAGAGTGGGGGGGGGGGGCGGGGGGTCGCCACACGCAACTCCGGTGGTTTCCCGAGAGCTTCACAGCAAGCGGACCTCCCGCCCCAACGCACCGGTGTTGGGTTGCCCGCGCTGGACAACTTATTATTTTGTTCCACTGCGCAAAACAACCACGCTCGTCAATTGGAAAGGCGTGTGGTTGGGCTGCGGGTGATGGGGGGGGGGGCTGAGAAAGAGGCACCTCCTCGATGCCGCCGGGCGCAATGCGGGAGCGCGTCGCGGGGGGCGGGGTAGGAAGGCGGGGGGCCGCCGTAACAAACCGGAGAGCTCTCACTGCGCCCACTCTCTCCAGGACAAGAATGCAAGACTCGGGCGAAGCCGGGTGGTAAAGCTAGCATTGCACATGACGATGCCTTATAGCATCAGGAGCTCGATGTCCCACTATTGAGGTCCGCTGGCCACGAGCAGAGGACTTCAGCAGAGAGGGAGGGTAAGGTGCATTATAGGGTCCACAGACGAATGTTGCTCCCAGACTGACATTCCCCATGCACGTCTAATCTTGCACGCGACAATGCTATACGTTCAGGAGCATCGATGCCAATGTCGAGGTCTGCTGCTGCTGCTGGTCGTGACGAGCGGGCTTCAGGAGAGAGAGAGTTCGTGGCGTTTTGCTGTTCCTGGGTTTACTGTGTGGGTCCCGTAATTTGGATTGCATGGCCACAGTCCCACTACTGTGGCTTGCCGTTAACGTGTCTCTGTGTCTCTCTACGGCTCTCTGTGCATTTCTACGAGCCTATACACATCCCTACGTGTCTCTAGGCAACAGCGTGTCTCGATGGGTTAACCGTGCGGTCCACAGTTTGGGTTGCATGGCCACAATCGCACTGGTGCGGGTCGTGTATTTAATTTTGCATTCATGAAGGAGATGTGGTGGTGCAGCATCGGCTTGGTGATGATGTTCTGTCGAATCCAGGGGGTGGTGCGATGATGTTTGGGCCTCCGGCGGGAAGCGACGGGGCCTTGGGAAGCGTTCAACTTGCGGAGGCAAGCGTCCCAGATGCGGGGGCAATGCACCGCGATGGCTAGGAGATGTTAACTTCCTGCAGGAGGTCGTGGGTTCCATCCCGACCCTGACGCCTGCTGTATGTTTGGGAGTTTGCGGTGTCTATCTCTCTCTCTCTCTGTCTCTGTCCCCGTGGCCGCGTGGATTTCTCTCCGGGCCCTCTGGGTTTTTCCCGCCACATTCAGAATCGCCGTCACGCGTTCGGAGTATTTTTTTGCCCGTAAATTTTGGCCGCTTTACGAAAAATAGCCGCACAGCTCAGTGAGACCTTAATATATATATAAAAAAAAAATAACTTAAGTTTAGTGTTTCATCAACTCGCCCGGATTGCAAATCGGCTTCGAGCCCGTCCTGAGCGGCAGCGTTACGCTCAAGTTCCGTCCCGCGTCGACGAGGAATTCCGTCAAACCCACGATGACTCGAGGCATCGTGACCCCGTGACCCCGTCCTCCCACCACCCCCCCCCGCCCCGTGTGTCACTCACCGGCCCTCCGCGGCGACACCGTTGCGCTGGCCTCTGCCGGCTCGCCGCCGAGCGCGATGAACGAGGGCAGCTGCCTCGGCTTCCCCCGCGCGGCATCGTCACCGCCGTCGTCACTGGTCACGATACCGGCGGCGGCGGCGTCGGCGGTGGTGGCGGCCGTGCGTCGTTGCAACGCGGCGCTCTCCGTGGTGCGGGCGCTGCGTCCCGGTCGCTCGGCTCTGTCACAAACGAGCAAACGATGATCGAGAGATTACGTCATGGGCATCGTCGTCATCACCATTGCCATCGCCATTGAAGGGCTTCAAGAAACACTTGACACCACCAGCAATGTTCAGTGAAAATTCAACGTCACCGTCGTCACCTTCGCAGTCATCAGTCACAGCAATCATCATCGTCGGTTGCGAGCGACCGCGTTCCATTCCATTTCCATTTATTAGTTCCATTTATTTGGTATAGCCCTGTGAGCCATCCGGCTCTTGAATCGGGTGCAACCGCAACAAATAAAAACCATGAACAAGAAAACATCTTAAAGTGACTTTGTGACTGTGCAAACAGAAAATCCCGGAAAAAAAACATCAAAATATTCCTGAAATAGCACCGTATACACCAACGCTGTGTTGCACGCAACTGCATGCCATTGTGACCAACCCAGTCCATCTGCAAGTGATTCAGTTGCAGGCAACCAAAGCAGGCTTATGTCGTGCTCATTTTACTTGTAATTTGTATCATCGACGACTCTTAACGAATCATTTCATTTTGTAGTTTTGAGTCAAACTAGGACGAAAAGAGGGGGTTCCTTGCCAACAAACACCTGGGCAGTTCGTCGGCATCGGTTCAAGCAGCACAGCCCGACTCTTGCCGCTGACGAGACACCGAATGGTCGAAGCCGCTCGTACATTTTAGCGATCGTCGTCGCGAACCCCGGCCCGCCCGAGTATGCGACGCTGGCCGGTCCAGCCGCGAAACCCGGCTCACCCGCGCGTCCCTCTCAGCTGCCCAGCCGCCACCTTCGCCGCCGCCGCCGGCCCCGCCGTCGTCCTGCTCGTGCCGGCCGCCCGGTGGAGCAGACGGCACCGCTGCCCGCGCTGGCAGCTGCCCGTACGGCGGAACTCCGGGCACTCGAGCGTGTGCAGCTTCTTGCACTGCCGAGCCATACAAAGACAAAGACAAAGATCCCCCGTATAGCCTTAACAGGCTGTAGGGGCAAGTGCTGTTAGCGAGCACCTATGAAGGCCGCAACGGTACACGAGGGGGTGGGTGGCCAGCACCACGCCCGACCGCCTTTGTCTCCCTAGTGGCGATATTTACACACCGCACCAGGTACTCATTTGAGGCTGAGTCGACCTAGGGGAGGCCCGGGACCGGTTCAGATAATCGTCGCTGGTGTTGGCCGTGCGAGCGGGACTGTGAACTCGGGTCGCCGGCAACGAAAGCGAGTGGCGTTAACCACTGCGCCACCGCCCGCCACACACGACAAAGAGCCCCCGAATAGCCTTAACAGACCCTGGGGGAGGACCCAGGAACGGTTCAGATATTCGCCACCGTCATTCGTCGCGAGCGCGAATCGAACTCGGGGTGCGACTCACACACGCGCAAAACACAAGCCAAACTCAAAGATACATTCGCGTGGCATACAATCACTGAAGATGTTTTTGCTGTCATCGACGCGTCTGTCAATTCATTTGTACGATGAACGGTTGAACACAGGGCCCAGCGGACGCTTGTGTCGCAGAGGTTCGAATCCGGCAGGCCGCCCTGGGCTAGCTCTGCCTGTCGTGCGCTTGGCCACGACCAACTTCTTGGCTCAGAGTGGGCGAGCTAGAAGAGCGGGTCGCGCGTCCGGCGTCACGGTCCAAATTTGGAAAACGGAACGGGACGGAACAAAACGAGACGGGACGTAATCATGCAAACATCAGGGGCTAGGAAAACGAGGCGGGGACCCAGAGTGCATTCGCAAAGGGACGCCACGGTGGTGAGATGTCAATTACCTCGCCTGGTGTACAGGAGGTCGTGGGTTTGATCCCGACCAGGACACCTGCTGTATATTTGGAGTTTGCGTGCGTCTCTCTCTCTCTCTCTCCCCGTGGTCGCGTGGATTTTTCGCCGGTTTTTTCCCCTCCACATTTTAGAATCAACGCATCACGCGTTAAGAGCAATTGGCCGCTATGAATTTCCACGCGATGATGATAAGCCGCTTCCGTTGAGCTATCATTTGTGACGGCCAGGCCCCATTCTGAAAAAGAGCTAGGTACTTTCGGTAAAGTCACGTTGAAGGGAAACAATAAAACAATAAAATACATATAAAAAACAATAAAAATTCTCACGACGTTTCGACCATAACACAAACGGTCGTCATCAGGTGTGTCGGTTTGCATAAAAACCGATTTGCATAAAAACCGACACACCTGATGACGACCGTTTGTGTTATGGTCGAAACGTCGTGAGAATTTTTATTGTTTTATATGTATTTTATTATTTTATTGTTTCCCTCCAACGTGACTTTACCGAAAGAGCTAAGAATATGAATTACTGCAGTCACGAAAGCTTTAAATCAAAATTTAAGAGCTAGGTAGCTCAGTAGGGGGCCTTACCTGGTAAAACATAACATTGTTTAGTTTAGAGTTTAAATCAAACCACTACCTCCACCCACCTCCTGCCCCCCACCCCGGAATCGTCATCAACTCGACGCGGGGAAAACCACAGACGGCGATCGCAGATAAAAGCGACGAACTAGCCCCCCACGGCCCCCCACACAGTCACCCGCTCCCCTCCCCCCCCCCCCCCCCCCCCCGAGTCCACCGTCAGCCACGGAACAAACGCCGCGAGTTTTCACGGGCGGAATGAAACCACAACGATCGCGGCCAGAGCGCTAAATAAAAACGAAAAGCGGCAAAAACCGGAGCGGGGGAGCGGAGCGCCCCACTATGGGGGCTGACATAACGGGAGCGGAGACCCCCAAAAAGGGGGCTCAAGCAACGGGAGCGGAGCCCCCCATAGTGGGGGCTGACATAACGGGAGCAGAGACCCCCGTGACGGGGGCTCAAGTAACGGGAGCGGAGGCCCGCCACATTGGGGGCTGACGTCACGGGAGCGGAGCCCCCCAAAACGGGGGCTGATGTAATAGGAGCGGAGCCCCCCACAATGGGGGCTGATGTAACGCGCCATCCCTCGAGCACCTCCCTCCGTTCTATTTTCGGCGCTGGGAGAAGGAAGGTGGGGTGGGGGAGGAGGGGGGTGGATTTTGAAAGGAGATGGAGGGGTAGAAGGCAGATGAGCGGGCGGTTGGGCGACTGAGCGAGTGGGTGAGTGAGTGGGTGAGTGCGTGCGTGAGCAGGTGAGCGAGCGGCCGAGTGAGTGGGTGAGCGGCCGGGTAAGCGGGTGAGTGAGCGGCTGAGTGAGGGGGCGAGTGGCTGAGTGGCTGGGTGAGCGAGCGGGTGAGTGAGCGTCCAAGCGAGTGGGCGAGTGGCCAAGTGGCTGGGTGAGCGAGCGAGTGAGTGAGCGGCTGAGTGAGGGGGTGCGCGAGTGAGCGGGCGATCGAGCGGGCGAGTGAATGGCCGACTAATTGCGTGAGGGGGTGAGCGAGCGGGTGAGCGAGTAAGGTTGGGTGATGGGGGGTGCAGAAGAAAACGGGCGACTTCTGGAGGTGGGGGGGGGGGACGACATGGCTAGAGACGCGTGGCGGCCGCGTGGGGAAGTCAGTGGTGGTGTCGGGCACGAGGGCAGCAGCTGATCGGAGCGCTGGGACCGGGACTCCTTTTAGCAGCACCGGGGGAGGGGTGGTGGTGGTGGTGGGCGCGGGGGAGAAAGGGAAACCTGAGCCGCGTGTCCGTGCTCGCACGCCGACCAGCGACGCGGGAGGCGAGAGTGAGAGTCCAGAAGCTGAGGTGGGGGGGGGGTAGGGCCCGCGGGGAATCTGACCCACCGACCTCTGGCGTACCACGGTGGAGGTGAGAACGGTGGACCGACGAGGGCCTGGAAGCCGCCGGACAACCGCTGAGACTTCGCCAAAAACACGACGAGGGTGGGAGGGTGGGGGGGGTGGGGGGGGTGGGTCGCCTCCACCCAGCGCCCTACGCCCAATTGGCCCGACGGCAGGAGCGGAGACGGCAATAATAATGACGGGCGATGAGAGCGATTATCGCACGCGAGTACATTTTATATTCGCGCCATCGCCACAGCGCAAGGGCCTGCCGTCCACCACCAAGCCACACGTGCACGGTCTGTGGCCGTCATTTCTTAGCAGGTGGCGGGGGGGAGGGGGGAGGGGGGCATGCTACCGCGTGTTTCAAAATCAAGCAGATTGCTTTTTTATCCTCTTAACATTTAAACAAAACGACCGGCACCACCACCTCGACCACGCTGCTCCAACTCCCCACCCACCCACCCACCCCTTGCCTGTCCCCCCCCCCCCGCTCCTGCCCCCCCATCCCCAGGCTGGGCGACCCTCTGGCAGCCCGGGCAGCTCACGTGACAAACACCCGGCCACTGACCCTGACCCCCGGAACCCTCAGCTGTTGCGTCGTGGCGACCCCTGTGTCCCGGCGCCTTCGGTTACGAACACCCCCCCCCCCCCCCCGCACATCCCCTGCCTTGCTCCCTGTGCACAGGGCTAAACTTGTGTCTTGCTCGCTCGCCCGCCAAACCCTACCGCGCTAGCCCGGTCGTCCGCCCGCCCGCCCGCACGCCCGCCCGCCTCTATAATTGGGAAAAAGTAAAAGTGATCGGGGCTCGCTTCTCACCACGGCGACCGCACGATGGGTTTGTAACTCAAGCGCTTGACATGCGACAGAGAGAGAGGGGGAGAGAGAGAGACAACTAGAGACGAATGCCTCGATGAAAAGTGTACCGCGGCGTGCTGCTTTACGAGACAGAGAGACGTCCCTCCGCTGAGAGAGGCCGGAGAGAGAGAGTTGCAACCGGGGTACCAGCGTTTTGCCTACGCGCTGTGACGCTGCCGGCAAGCACCGTAATTAATCGCAAGGCGCCATTCAGTTACAACGGTGTGGGATTGCAAACGCTCATGCCAATTATTAAGGCCATTACAATTACCGTTGTCATGTGCGTGTCTCTACAGCGCTTGTACGTGCGCTGAACTTCTTTCCCACCGCACGTAGCCATCCGCGCTAATCCAGAGGTGCGAGTGGTGAATGGTGGCGATGAGTGGTGGTGAGAGTGGTGATGGCGTACACGCGTAGTGTTGAACTTCTCTCGCACCGTCGCACGTAGCCAACCGCGCTAATCGGAGGTTGCGGGAGAAGGGCAATAAACTTAAACGATCGCTGCTCGGGAAAACGCAGTCGGGACCGAATGCCAGTTTTCTTTGAAACCTTTAAACAAGTCTTCACCCCCCCTGCCCCCCGTGTTATCCCAATCGATCGCTCCACCGATTATCGGTTGCGCTCCTCGACCGATCGAATAACGCGAGGACAGTCGGCAAAAGAAAGAAAACAAGAAATGATGTCACCTCTGTTCCTGCATGCGCCGCTGGACGGGCGGTTACGGCCGGCGATTTACGATCCCATCCGCATCTTCGGCCGCGATCGTACAACGGCGAGTCTAATGGTCTATGGATCTCTATGCGAATCTGTGGGTTTCTGCTTGAGCCTACATGTACGTACGTATGTTGAACTTCTTTCGGGTAAGTCTCTGCGTAACGCTATGGGGTCTCTGTGCGAGTCACTGGTGACCTGGCAGAGACCATCAACTCACCGTACGCGAGAACCCAGTGTGACAATAGTTGGGGGGCCGAAACCCTGGACTCGAACCCAAGAACCTCAGCAGTGCCGGCTCGGCGTAATGGCTCACCATCCCCAGGACCGCTCGGGATCGGAATCAGAATATTTATTCATACTGCTGGCGGAAATCGATGAGCCATAAAGACTTTTTGGTCACAGGATGTCCAGTCGGGGCCAGGTAGGGAACGTCAAAAAACCTTTGCCATGGCACGAAATTAAACAAGACGTGGAACCACCCGCTCGTCGATTTCATCTTGGCGCGGCGAAATCAACAGCCTTGCCTGGCCGACGCAACTATTATGAAACGGGGCGCAATTTCCCCAACCGCAACGGCGCACAGCACCCTCCGTACTAAATCCACCCCAGTTCCTCTATCGGCCGCCACTGCCCGACGGCTTCTCCCGCGC